TGTTATAGTTTTAAAGGTCTTCCCCATTCTCAAATCAATTTTTAATTTAATATATATACGTATTTTAAATTTTTATTTTATTGTTAGTACATGTTTTCAATTCACACAGTTTACAGTCATCTTGGGGAGTGGGCACATGTGCGTATTACAGCTTTTTTTCCAATCCCTTTCCCTTTCCCTCTCCTCCTCTGGTTCCCCTACAACCTCGTATACACGTATTGATATTATTTGTCTCAGCTCATGTTTAAAGTATATTTTATTTTTTCTAAACTTACATGATTTGTCACATGCAAATTTTTACATATGTGAAATTATTTTTATGGAAAGAATAAATTATGAATCTTATTTTTCCAGGTTTTTTTCCATTTGCACCAAAACAATTTTCTGAATTTATTGTATATACTAATTTCCAACAGGTGTTTTATTTCTTGACCTTCAATCCTGTCAATTAGGAACATTCTAAAAGTGCAGCTACTGTCACTATACTACTGGATATCTTCAAGATGTCTGGGTAGTATCTTTAATAGAAGGCTGCCTTTCTAAAAATCCTTATGTTATCTGAAAATTCATTTGGGTTTCTATCAGAAAGAGGAAAAGGGATACCGCTGGGACACCTATCAACCATTTATGTCACATCTTAAATTAGTTAAATCAACTTTGTCTTATAATCTTAAGGCAAAGGAGAAGACTTCTGAGGAAAAAGAAGATGGAAGTAAGTTGATATAAGCCAGGAGAAATGAGGCAGGAGGGAACATTCTCTGGAAAACCAAAAGAATTTGTGAGTCTCCAGTCACAGTGAGTTAGCTCAGGGGTCTGTGTTTCGACACCAGCCCCCTGTTAGCTGGCTCTCGAGTTGCAGTGCACACGAATAAACACACGTGCGATCGCAGCTCAGTGGGAAATACAGTGGGGAGAAGAGAAGTCCACAACCACGTGACACAGTACTAACTACACAGCCTCACAGCCTAAAATGAAATTCTCACCCCTTCACATGTGCTGCTGCAACTCAGTTCTAGATTTTTAAAGACCTAGAGGAACAGTTTAAGCAGTTTGTGTTTCAGAAAAGCAGTGTGAAATAGCGAGGATGACATATATTTACAATCAGAATAGGGTTTTGGTTTTAATTTTACCTCAGATAAATCATTTAACCATTCTGACTCCCACTCATCCTGTAAAGAAGGTAAATAATGTCTATGTGATAGTACTGCTGTCAGAATAAAATAATAGATGTAAGTAAGCATGATTAATTATAAAGACTATGCCAAATATAAGGTTTTATATAGGTTAATATATTTGTTTCAAACAGAATTTCTATTAAAAAATTCACACCTCTTCAACTGCTCTTTGAAAAAGTTTCAGCACTTCCACTGGTAATAATTTGCAAAAGGGTAAAATCAAATCATGTGGAGAAAAAACTAACTCATTTAAAAATCTCTGATCTCAGGAAAAGGCAAATGATGTGTGAAAAAGAAAATTCAGAAGGAAGCCTAGTATGTAGTGGCAGTAACTCAGAACATGAACGCTGGGTACCTCAGCTAACTGAAAATAAACTACTGATGTAGACCTGTAGTAGGTAATATTGATCGCATGTTTGGAAAAATAGATATCAATACACAAAATAGGAATAAAAGCTTAGAGAACAATACTTACATATCTGTGTGGTCAAAAGCTAGGTATTCTTCGACTATGCCTTCTGAGAAGATTATACAATCTTCCTTTTCTGTTTCCATAGCACACAAGCCAGGAGATTTGGCAATAAAAGATGCTTTATGAGCATAAGGAGATGAAAATTGTAACCTTTTCCCCCTTATACCAAATCTGAGAGAGAGAAAAAAGCCAATGTTAATTATGTACAAATATACAGTTCTCACAGCAGTGGTCACATGACTTTTGGCTCAAAAACCCCTTGCCCTGGTAGCACCTTCCTCTAGTCTAATGATTTAAGATTCTTTTGTTAGCAGTAACATCTGCAAGACAACTTTATGACACAATTCTACCTTGCTTTTTGTTGCAGCTTTAGGGAAAATGGGGACTAGCCAAAGTGTAGGCCTTAATAGTCTAGTATGTCTCAGAACAGGAAGACTGAACACTGCCCATAGATCTATTCCGCTTAGGAGTGCTGTGCATTGTCTAAAATGGCTTGCTATCTTCTCAGAAGCAAACAACTACAGCTACAGCTACAGCTGTAAGCTCTTTAAAAATAAAGGATATTTACATTCATAATCACATTTTTAAGGTACCTTCAGAGGTTATGTGCCTATTTCAATAACCTCATCATTCCGCACTGGGGAGGCAGGATGATTGCTGTGAGTTCAAGGCCAGCGTGGGCTACATAAGTGAGTTCAAGGCCAACCTGTACTATATAATGAGACCCTGTCTCAGAAACACAAAACAAAAGATAACCTCATCACTGCTCAAAATTGGGAGCTGGGGATTTAGCTCAGTAGCACAGTACCTGCCTGGCAAGCGCAAGGTCATGAGTTCGATTCCCAGTACCGGAAAACAAACAAACAAACAAACAAACAAACAAAATCACTGCTCAAAATGAATGTTCTTTAAGAGCTGGGGATTTAGCTCAGCAGCACAGTGCCTGCCTAGCAAGCACGAGGTCATGAGTTTGATTCCTGGTACCAGAAAAAAACCAAACAAAACCAAAACAAAACAAAAAAGAATGTTCTTTAAAAGGAGAGATCTTATTAATATTAAAATTTCTCTTTATACCCAGATATTCAGTAAGTACATGATGACTCATTCTGCATTTGAGCAGTTTTACTTTGGGGAAAACCAATCACATATGAGCAATACATTTTTAAAAATGGCTCTTTAACCAAATATTTAGTACAATCAATTTATGCTTTGTATTACTTTTTATTCTTCTTTGTGCCTTAAATACATTTTTTTAGGAAAAAAAAAGAATAAACCTATGGCATTTTTCAGCAAGGCTGGTGGGACAATCTTTTGGAAGACACTTTAGAACTGTGTATTAGGAGACTTAAACATACCCTTTGATTCAGTGCTTTCATCTGTAAGAATATCCTTTAAGGATATGATTGATAAGATTTGCCTATAAGAAACATCATCGTGGGGAACGCTGTTGTTGCTCAGTGGTAGAGCTTAGCACGCTCAAGGGCCTGGGTTCAACCCTCAGAACTAACAAAACAAAACAAAAAACCAAACAAACAAAAAAACCCTTCACAGAATTATGTATTTATTTACAACTACCAAAAATAATCAAAACTAACCCAGTTGTTTCAAAACAGAGGATTTGAGGGTGGGTCGTTTAAATATAGGTATATTCATAAACTATGAGGTCATTAAGTTAATGGTGAAGAAAATGGAAAACATCCACAATAAAATGTTAAGCATAAAAATATTACAAAATATGTACAGTAATTTCATAAAAACTCTACACATATGTAGAAGAGAATTCAAGACACCCCTCACTATGCATTCCTTTCCTAGTAAAATCATTCTGATTTAATTCGGGCAGGCATTACTCCCTCAAAGACTTCATGTCTCAGCTACTCTACAGCCAGATGTAGTCAATGAAATATGAACATAGTTATTACGTGACACTCTAGAAAGGCTGTTTAAGGGAACTTGGCTTAGCTACCAGGGGTGTCTTTCGCAGTTCTCCCTTTCCTCCTTTCTGGTACCTGGGGCTCTGTCACCCATGTAGGACTATAAAGAAAACCTCAAGGAAAACATTGTGGGCTACGACGGTGCAGCAGAAAAATGAAAGCAGTCTAGGTCCTCGAAAACATCACGTTACCACTGCACTGTCTTTAGATTGCTTTTGTCCAGGCTTCTTTTCCATAAAGAGAAATTCTTTCTTAAGCCATTAAACAGACTGTAGGGTTCACAGGAAGTAGTTCGCAGTCTGGGGAGGCTTGGTGCATTAATTTGGCTCCTTTACAGCAGTGGAAGGTAAAGTTTCAAAGAAAGCGAGGGTCTCTGTCACTCTTCTGCCACTGGATACAATGCCCAACATCTGAAACTTAATGGAGGAGTAGTGCATTTTGGCTCACTGTTTCAGTCTGTGGCCGTCAGGGTCTGAGGTGGAAACAGGATGGCAAAGGGGCAGAGCAGAGGAAAAGGTGTTCAGGAAGCAGAGAAAGCAGGGAGGCGCTGGAGAGGGAGAGCCGCCCTGACCAGTCACTTCCCCAGTGACCCACCTCTCATGGGGCCCCACTTCCTAACGGCAAGTCAGCTAGGAGCTCATCAGTGGAGATTTGGGCGTGTATTTTAGATCTAAACCATAAGAGGGGTTGCCTAGCTCTTCACATTGGATCATGGTCGTGGCGAAGAGGTTAACGGAGGTAGGAGGCTGCTGCGCAAGATGTGGCAGGGCTGGTAAGCTGCCCAGAGCCTAGGGACAGCAGGACGCAGAGCTGGAGAGAGGGTAAGGAGTAAGAGCCACTGTCTGGAGAACAGCACATCTGAGCCAGCTTGCATTAGTGGTTATGAGTCTTCAAATTTGAAACTTACGGTTGTTTAAATCTCTGGTTTTAATTTTTTTTCAATTTTTAAAAATCTCTGTTTTGAAATTCAAAAACAGTGGTTTCCAAATTGTAGTCAACAGATTTAGGCCAATCAATGACAAAATTTTTACTTAACTATCCCAAAATAAGCAAAATATAAACAGTAGCCAATAAGACTACCAAGTATCTTTTCTTCAAAACAACTGTCCTTATTTTAAGGTTATGGACATTATACTTTTTGTGTTATCCCTTTTCTTTTATAAAATAGTGATAGTAGGTTTTTTTATTGCAACATGACAGAATTAAAAGCTGTCAAACACTGAGCACTCAACATTTCATATGTTATTGTGCCACTGCATTATTCCATTTGTATTAACAACTGATCATTTTTTAGTCAGTGGTAACTAATGGAATACTTTGTTTTGGAAAAAACAGGCATTTCTAACCAAGTCTAGGTCTAGCTGCTACTAAAAGAAATTCTGATTAGATAAAGAAAAATGTCCCCATTTTCCCTAAAGCTGCAACAAAAAGCAAGGTAGAACTGTGTCATAAAGTTGTCTTGCAAATGTTACTTCTAACAAAAGAATCTTAAATCATCAGACTAGAGATTATCAAGCCTGGAAAATAATTGTTAACTTCCAAAAATCTGTAATTCTTGCTTCTAATAAAATAGTAACAGTGGTGTCTATTAGTAATGTTTATGTTCAGATCTGTTTTCTTGTGAGAAAAAGAATCACTGGCACTTTATTTTCCTTCATGTATGGAGGATAAGATGATTTTGCAGAATGTTGCTCTGATTTCTGACAGCTTCAAATACTTCATATGTGTGGAATCAGAGTATTTGTCCTTTTGTGGTTGCTTATTTCACTTAGGATAATGTCTTTGAGGTTCATCCATGTTGTAGCATGAGGCAGAATTTCCTTACTTTATAAGGTTGCATAATATTCATATACTTATATATCACATTTGTAAAAATCCATTCATCTCTCAGTACACATTTAGACTGCTTCCACCTCCTAGCTGTTCTGAACGATGCTGAAGTGAACTCAAGTGTGCAAGAACCTATTAGAGATCTGGCTTTCAATTCTTTTGGATATATACCCAGAGGAGGGATTGCTGGGTCGTATGGCAGTTACAGTTGTAATCTTTTTAAGAGTCTCTACATTTTTTTCTATAATGGCTGTACCATTTTATATGCCGACCAAGAACAACCCAAGGGTTCCAATTTCTCTGCATCCTTGTCAATATTTATTTGCTGTTCCTTGGCAGTGTCTGTTCTAATGGATATGAGGTGTAACTTCATATGGTTTTGAATTATTTCTGTAGAAAAGTCTTAGTGGTTGATAAACTTCGTATTTATAGCAACTTGGATTGTCCCTCGAACTCACATATTGTCACTACCCAAATTTTTTTCTTTAATACTGTTTGCCTCTCAAAGAAATCAGGATTCCTTCAAGTCCAGCTGATTCCATGTCTTAAAGGAGAAAAAAAATAAGGATGGGCCTGGGACATCTTACTGTAACCAGAAACCAAAAATATAATCGAAACAAAGACAAGGTACTAGCCTGAAGTAGCCAAGTGGTAACAATTAGAACACTAATAATAATCGTGGTTAAATATTTACGTATCTGAGATGCAATGAGTTCATACTAGTACTCAAGAGAGTAAATATCAAGTACAGACAAAACAGTGACTACATGAAAAGAGTAAATATGGATTATGTTTAATTTTTATTGCTTTAAATAAGAAGGGGTATGCTACAGAGCTGAATAATTTTTTTGTCTAAGTATGTTTATGTATATAGTATACACATAGGTATCTATTTTAATCTATGTAAGTAGTGATTGAGAATTGTAAGTCAAATCCATAAAAGAAGTGTATCCAAAAATGAAAGACCCATCAGCAATGGCAGCAGGAAGGAGAAAGGGAACAAACAAAGGGTGTCAGTAGCCCACTGCAGAATACAGGGTCAGCCAGACATCCTAAAGAGGAAGCACTAACTTCTCAGACTTGAGCTTTTATTTCTTCGGAGGTAAAATCTCTAAATGGACCTACTTCTTATTGTTATAAAATAAGGCACACAGTGAAGTTTATACTATCAGATGAGGAAAATATATCCTAATGACAGGGTATGAGTTATATAATTTTCTTCAGAGAAAATTAAAAAATAAATCATTTCTATGGGTGACAGGTTATAAAAAGTTTAAATTTATGTAAAAGAGTAAATTTTAAAAGCCTTATTGGGCTGGGGATATAGCTCAGTGGCACAAGCGCCTCCCTGGCAAGCATAAGGCCCTGAGTTCAATTCCTGGTACCAAAAAAAAAAAAAAAAAAAAAAAAAGAATCAGTGGGCAATGCAGTCCCCCAACTCTGACTAGCCTAAAACAGTGTTTTACTTTTGTAGTCTGGTGAGATTATTGAAAAGCCAAAAGGCACCAAAATTAAATTCTGTTACTACAACTCTCAGAAGGTATCAAGTAAAACTACAGCCTTCACAAAAAGTATAGGACTAATTTTTTAAATGAATTAAAATATAATATTATGTTTTATAATAGATTTCAGTATAAGAATAGGTTGAGAAATAATACTTGGATATTGCCACTGTTTAAAGACCATGAGGCAATCAAAAGGTTTACCCATTTAAAAATTATTTTGAGCCCGGCGTGATGGGGAACATCCATAATCCCAGCACTCAGGAGGCTAAGACAGAAAGACTACTGCAAATCTGAGGCCAGCCTGAGCTACATGTAGTGAGTTCAAAACTAGCCTGAACCAAATAGTGAGACCTTGTCTCAAAAATTAAAAAAATTATTTTGAAGTTCAATTCTGTTCAAACATTAAGCTGTAATCAACATCGTAACTTTTTAAAAATATCATACTTAATATAAAAAATTAAGTCTGTTCCTTAGACTCTCAAAAATTTAAAAACCATCCTGTTTTGTTTTTTTGTTTTTCTTCCAGTACCAGGAATTGAACTCACGACCTTGCACTTGCCAGGCAGGTGCTGTGCCACTGAGCTAAATCCCCAGCCCAGAATGGTTTTTAAGGGGCTGGGGATTTAGCTCAGCGGCACAGTGCCTGCTTGGCAAGAGCAAAGTCGTGAGTTCGATTCCCGGTACCAGAAAAAAACCAAAACCACAAACAAACAAACAAACAAAAACCATTCTGAATACACATTTATCCCAAGAGGGAAGTACTATATTTATAAGGAGACATAGATATAGGGATGAATAGATAGATAGATAGATGATAGATAGATAGATAGATAGATAGATAGGAAGAGATCATTCTGAATAAAAAAAACCACCCTAATCTCCAGGTCATATATTAACTTTTGAATAAAAAATAACAAAGGGCTGGGGATATAGCTCAGTGGTATAACTGCCTGCCTAGTAAGCACAAGGTCCAGAGTTCAATCCCTGGTACCGCAAAAAAAAACTTAATATATACAAAGACTACAACCAATCCTATAGCATTTTCTGTGCTTTACCAGTAAGTAGAAAGAAGTATCTTAATCCTTTAGTTCAGTTGTCAGAATACAATACTTAAATACTAGGATAATGAAACATATAACAGATACTTACATAGTAGAATCTCTTTCTTGAGACAAGACTGCTTCACGTGAAACTGGAACAGCAGAAGGGGATCTAGGATATAGTTCATAACCTTCACTTGGAGTAATTATCTGCCTACCTAGAATCCTTCAAAATGAAAAAACAGGTAATTAAGCACTTTGGCATACATACAAAATCCAGGCATTTCTGGAACAAATCTGATGGTTCTACTCAGAAGTTCAATACACACTTGGTCTCACAATGATTAAGAATTATTCTTGAAAGAAAATGTGAGGACTTACTATAGGTACATCTTCAAGAGAACAGAGATGGAAAACAAAAACTGTAGCCTGGAAGTTAAAAAAAATCCAAGGAAAATTGAAGCTAATCAAGAGAGAAGAAATCCAAGGAAGCTCAGCAAACATTTGCCCTTCTTCTGTCTAATAATCAGCATTAAATCATCCATAATGGGGCCGGGGATATAGCTCAGTGGCACAAGTGCTTGTCTGGCAAGCGCAAGGTCCTGAGTTCAATTTGTGAACTGAGAAAAAAAAATCATCCATATCAGGATAAAAGCTCAGCCAAATTGTTGACAACTATGAGTAACATTCTTAAAACATCAAGCGTTACAGATTTTAACTATAAGTGGTGAGTGTACTATGGTGGTTTCTGAGAGTAGTTCCTAGTGGCTTGTGTGTGTTCTCAAGTATACGTAAGAATTTAGCTGTAGACAACAATGTCAACAAATACATATTTCTGACCCTCTTGCTCAAAAGAAGGACTCTTGCTGGGTCTGGTGGCATACACCTGTAATCGCAGCACTTGGGAAGCTGAGACTAGGAAACTGGTGAGAATTCAAGGCCAGCCTGGGCTAGCTAGTGAGTTCAAAGTCAGCCTGAACTGCACAGTGAGATCCTGTTTAATTAAAAAAAAATAAGGAAGAAAGGCTCTTTGGGCAGCCCTGACACCCAGACACGAGTTACCGGTATAGAAAGTTTTACTCAGTTAGGATGACATATTTGGTGATTATGGGTACACACTTCAAGAAACTTCCATCACCTGGAATCAGGCTAACACTATATGACCTTATTTATGTTTATTAACATCATACCCATAAAGATTTCAAAACATAAGCTTTTTCTGGAAATCCACTTTTTAAATGTTAGTCTCAGGGCTGGGGATTTAGCTCAGCGGCACAGCACCTGCCTGGCAAGTGCAAGGTTGTGAGTTCGATTCCTGGTACCAGAAAAAAAACCCAAAAAAACACAAATGTTATTCTCAGCCACAAGCACAAGTCAACGGCCACCTGAGGTGAGGGAAGCTGGACGTCCACTGTTGGCACTCGTCATGCAGACTCCTCGTGTGCACACTGGGCTTCTGCTCGTACAGGAGCTCGTCAATGGCGGTGAACATCGCCTGGACTTTTTCAGTGGCATTTTGGTCAAGTTCCTAGAGGAAAATGTTCCCCCAAAATATTTAGCTTCACCCTCTGCTAACAAATAAAGATTGAAAGTAATCAGGTTGTGCTTTGTTTTAAATATTTAGTCCATTTGAAACAGTATCATGTTTACATGAAAAAAAGTTAAATTAGGTTTCAGAGCTCATGGAATTTTCAGATATTCTTTCTATTCCTATTTGAAGAAAATTTATAGAAATAACCTTTTTTCTTTGGTCTTTTTGAGACAGCGTCTCACTATGCAGTTCAAGCTGGCTTTGAGCTCACTTTGTAGCCCAGGATGGCCTCGAACTCACAATGATCCTCCTGCCTCAGCCTCCCGAGTGCTGGAATTACAGGCATGCACCACCACAACCGGCAGAAATAATCTATTTGTAATAAACATTTTCTTTATTGTAAACTATATTTACTGTAAGAATTTTGAAAAACATAGAAAAGTATAAAAATTAAAATTACCTATACTTTCAGCCCTCAAAGTTAGTGTTTGTTATTTATTTATTTTTAAGAGACAGGTTCTGGCTCTGTTGCCTACAGTGGCCCCAAACTCCTGGACTCTGACAATTCTCCTGCCTCTGAGTACCTAGGAATACAGGCGCATGCCACTGTGCTGGGTCTAATGATTACTAATTTCAGTATACTCCAATACTCTTTTTTTTCTGAGTAAAAGTCCTATATATATTACTTTGCGTTTTGTACCTTCCATCTGACAGTTTATATTAAAACCTTACCCTTTGTAATCCAACCTTCAAGAACAGTCAGAGGGATGGCTATAAAATGTGAATCTGAGCCAAGTGTAGTGGTGCACACCTATAATCCCCAAATTCTTGGGAGACTGAGGTGGGAGGATCACAAATTCAAGCCCAGTCTGGATGACTAACAACTTAGCAAGACCAACACTAAAAGGTGGGTGGGGAGTGGCTAGAAATATAGTTGAGTGGGGCTGGGGATTTAGCTCAGCAGCAAAGCGCCTGCCTGGCAAGTGCAAGGTCGTGAGTTCGGTTCCTGGTACCGGAGAAAAAAACCAAAAAATATAGTTGAGTGCAACAATCCTGGGCTCAATCCACAAAAAAAAAAAAAAGCAGATCTGATCACGTACATTATCATGTTTTCTGATTCCCTGCTAACTCTCTACTGCAGCTATATTTACACACTCTTTTACATTCCACCGGAAGAAAAATTACTTCTTTTTAAAGTATATGAAAGTCAGCCCCTACCTGTAACAGCAAATGCCCCTCCGCCCAGCCAGTATACTTCAGTTTGTTAGTTGCCCAAGTAATGGTTCCTGTTCCAATTCTGGTTGCTTCTGGTCTCTTAGAAATGGCTGGTCACTGTGATGCATAGCTGGTCACTATGACACACATTGTATAAACCAATCCCCAATTGATAAGCTGTTCTGCCTCTGTACTTCGGGCTTGTTTATCCCATATAAGCCCTAGACCACCAGAGATCAGGGCCTGATATTCTGGGAGTGATCCTGATCAGTGCCTGTCGACATAAATAAATAAATCTGCCTCCAAATCCTGTTGTTTCAGTGTTTCTGTCTGCTGTTGCATACCAAATAGAAATTTACCTATCTGGGAATGTTTTCAAAAAAATATTCTATACTTGGTATCTTTTGAACATATCATATATACATAATATTTGTTATACAATAATATATATTTTATATATATAGTTGGTGGAATAGTATCTGTGCCATTTTTTTTTCTAAAATTTTATGTTCATATTGCTGTGTCCTAATCCATCTTCTGTGTTTCCTAACTACTCTTCAAATTCTCAGTTATAGGTGTCCTGGTTCTAGGTGATTTTTTTTTTTTTAAAGATAGGGTCTTGTTATGTAGTTCAGGCTGGCCTGGACTCACTATATAGCCCAGGTGGACCTCAAACTTGCAGCGATCCTCCTACCCTCAGCCTCCCCAGTGCTGGACTGTAGGCATGCAGCACCATGCCTGGTCTATTGGAGGTTTTAAAACAAAGTAGGTAGAGATTTCAATGTAAGAACAGGCAGTTATGAAGAGCCAATTAAAAATCTGGGGAATAAATAGCATTTGAAGTATCTCAACACATAAGGTAAAGTAGACTCAATAAAAGACAATAATGAATTTAATAATAGAGATAAAATCATGGTGCATGCCTGTCAACAGTGGGAAATAGGTTACATTCAGGAGGATTAATCAAATAAATAAATGTATAAGGGTAATGGGAGCTAGGTTTCTCATTATCAGAGAAAGAAGCTACAAACATGGAATGGGAAAAATAAGTATAAACCTTGTAATATAGGATTGTCCACTGAGCAGGACTGAGAATCAGTGACACTTAAAAGGCAATAAGCCTGCCTCGCACCTAAGTCTTGGCTTCTAAATACCACTCTCTACTCAAAGGAACCGTGCTCTTTAGAGAAGAGGCTGATTCCAAGGCTGGCATAGAGAAAAATACAAAATCACACTGGAATAATACCTTATGCGAGAAAATAAATTCTCAAAAAAGAATGGGAACATGACAAAGTGGCACCAAAACCTGCTCGAAAAGCCTTTCGTTGGCCAAATTTGAGAGCATTTGTACTTCAAGATAAAGAATGATAATGATGTATAACTCATTGACTGAAAAAAATCGGTGAGCCACCGGGTGCGGTGACGCACACCTGTAATCCCAGCACTCTGGAGGCTGAGGCAGGAGGATCATTGTGAGTTCGAGACCAGCCTGGGCTA